GCGCAGGCCCCCTGGAAGTCGATGGCGTGATCTGGCTCCAACTGCAACCCTCTGCCTCCCTGGGTCAATGATTCCATGTGCCTCCAGCCACCCTGGTACGCTTGGATTGGCAGGCGTGCATCACAAAACACTTGGCTAACGTTTTCGAATTGTTGAGTCCAGAAACGAGGGTTCACCAAGTCGGACCCAGGATGGTCTTTGAATCCTGGCCTCAAGTGATCTGCCTACCTCGGCCTCCAAAACTTTGGGATTAACAGGTGTGAGCCACCACCCGGCTCCATTTATCTATTATGTTTGTTCCTTTTTTTTTTTTTAATTAATTAACTCGCCTTATTCCTTTCTTCCACCCTCCATCCCTCGAAGATATACCCATATAGGCAGAGGAGGGCATCAAGAAGAAAAGAAAGAAAAAGAAAAAAGAAAGAATTTGAACATGAATCATGGTAGAGATACCAAATGTGGCAAGAGGAAGGAAGGGAAGTTATACATGGTGGCTTGGGGCCTAGGTCCTGTTTGTGCCTGGTTTTTTTGCTAACAGAATGCCAGAGAACTGGGTAAAGTTCAGTAATTAAATTTCCGTTCTATTTTGAACTTCTAATTTAAAGTTCAGTGGTAACACTGTGCCGTTTGTTCATATAGGGATAAACTGCATCATGGGGTCTCTAGGTTGTCAGTTATTTCTCACCGTCAAAGTGTTAGCCCCTAGTACCCATTAGTTAGTTTCCCTGATCTGCTCCCCTTCCCCCCATCCCCTCTCACTGGTTTAAGAGAAAGCAATGATCAGTGTTTGGCTATACATTGTTGAACTACAGAGTGAGAGTATGAGTTACAGTGTCCAGTATATGGCATTTGTGGCATCAGTTTAGAGACCACTAGTAAGTGCCTTCAAGAAGTAATTGTTTAGCTCAAGGGGGAGTGAGTCATGACTGCTCTGGGCCTGATAATTTGAAGGGGCTCATATTCCTCAGATAACAAGCTTTTTTTTTTTTTTCCCTTCTTAGTACCGGCATCTGGCAAGGGCCTTCTTGCTGCATGATCACATGGTGGAAGGGCAGAGAGAGAGATTGCTTGCACAAATGTCTGAGCATGTGCACACAAGAGAGGGCGAACCTACTCCAGAGATAACGAGATAAGGGCATGAGTCCCTTTGTGAAGGTGGAACCTCTTAATTGCCTCTTAATGGTCCCACCTCCCAGTACTGTCACAATGGCAATTAAATGTCATCATGAGCTTTAGGGGGGATGGACAAACTTTAGACAATAGCACTTGGTAATAGAGAGATGTTTATGGGCTACCTGAAGATGGTATAGCTGGAAAGCTTTTTTTTTTTTCCTTTTCTTACCATCAACTGGGGAAACTGCCACATTCTTCCTCTTCCCACCTGATGGCCATGCTCTTGTGCTTTACTGAAACAAAAAACAAACAAATGAAAAGCAATGATTCACATCATTATTGCAGTTTTTCCTTTTCTTGTCTTTTATTTAAAAACAGCAACAATAGGCCGGGCGCAGTGGCTCACACCTGTAATCCCAGCACTTTAGGAGGCTGAGACGGGCGGATCACGAGGTCAGATCGAGACCATCCTGGCTAACATGGTGAAACCCTGTTTCTACTAAAAAAAATGCAAAAAATTAGCCGGGCATGGTGGCGGGCACCTGTAGTCCCAGCTACTTGGGAGGCTGAGGCAGGAGAATGGTGTGAACTCGGGAGGCGGAGCTTGCAGTGAGCCGAGATCATGCCACTGCACTCCAGCCTGGGTGACAAAGTGAGACTCCATCTCAAAAAAAAAAAACAAAAAAAAAAACCCCCCAAAAAACCCAAATAAACAACAATAAACTTCTTTTTCTTTTACATACTAAAAAGGAAACCCTTAGGCTAGGTG